AAGACGACGTTGGACCATTTTTAAAAATTAATAATAATAATAATTAATAATTAATAATGATAAGAACAAAAATTAAATCGAAAACTGATAATGATTAATAATAATATTAATAATAATAATAATAATAATAATAATAATAATAATAATAATAACATATTCAAAATCAATAATAATAATTATAATATTTAAAATCGGCGGATTGACAAATATATAACATCAACATTAATAACTAATACCCTACACAACTAATTAATGAATAACTCAATAACATTTCAATACTACTATCATTTATACAAAAAGAAAATCAAATTCCCTATATGTACACAATAAACCTAACAAACCCCCACTAAAAAAAAAAAAAAAAAAAAAAAATTACATTGCACTGGTATCGAACCCTGTTCTATTGGGTCCGCCGTAAGGTCCTTTTGATTCGGATATAAATAACCGTAATTCGAACGGGATTATCGTCCGGAAGACATTAAATACTACTTCGAGTTTGATTAAGCTCTGTAACTTAACCCCTATCAATAATAATAACCACAATGTTAATGATAACGATAAAAAAAAACATTTATACCATCAGTCGATAATGCAATTCTCACTTAAATCTTGATAATGCCCAATAAGTCAGTAGGCAGGACTCGTGTATTAAATAATACGCTTAGGGATCTAGCAGGCTTAGCCATGAAAAAATCCTATATGTATATATATATTTATATATATATCCATATATATACACGATAAATCTTTGCAACTATATTTAAAACATCACTTTGGAGACATTATTTGGCAAGAAGGCCCTCAGTAGTCCCAGGTCTCGTCGGGCTCATGCTTAACCTCTTTGGGCGATTCGATTCCCTCGGGCCTGGGGGAGGGAGGAGGGGAGGCCTGGCCCTGGGACTTGAGACTGGGACTTGGAGTGGGGACGTCTCGCTCAGGCGCATTGGAGACCGAAGAGGCTTCGGAGGCAGCATCATCATCGTATCTGTCCGAAACAGGGGTAGGTTCCACCCTGACAGTCTCCTCGGCTTCGCGCTTGACGCCATAATCATCGGTCTTCATAACACAGACACCATTGATAATGACCTCATCCCCAGTCCTGGCAGGCTCTTGCCACTCTGGATTGACCCATTGAGGAGCAGCAGGCTTGCGTCTGCTGGATCTTCCAGCAGGAGCACTGGTTTGTTGATTGAGATCAGGTTCGCGCTTGATGCTTCCACCAGAAGCGTCAGAATCTTCACTACCTACGTTGCTCATATCGTCTCCATCATCATCCTCGTACTCCGGATTAGGTTCGCGCTTCAGCGATCCCATCGACAGGTCCAGGCCCGAGCACTGTTCCTTCAAGGCGTTGGTCATCAAGGTAGCCAGGTTCGGGTTGAAGTACGGCGAATAGGGTATAGGCATATTGCCGAGTCCTAGCCGCTCTTTCTGGATCTCTAAGAGTCTTTGGTTCAGGAGCAGCCGGAACTGGACTGGGTCGAAAGGCTGACCCGGCTCGCGTGGTGATTGTGGCTCAGGTTGGCCATGGGGAGTCTGCTGCTTCAAGCGCATCCTGTGATTGTGGAACCAGTTGGTGATTGTCCTGGAAGACAGCGCTAGCTCGCTTGCCAGGAACTCGATGGTCGCCACGTTGGGGTACGGATCCAACGCAAAGGCCAGTCTGAGAGCTTCCTTCTGCTCTTCGGAGAAGAGAACGCGTTGCTTTTTGGCTGAAGGAGGACCTGGACCTGGAGACGCCGCGTGGTAGAACTCGGCAGTGTCATTACTGCTGGTGTCTGAGCTGTTGTCGTGGCCTGGACCAGAAGAACGTCTTCTTTTGTTGGCCTCGCGCCGCTCGTTCTTCAAAGCCTGGAGTCTGTCGACGTTGTGGGCGTCTGAGAGCCACAGTTGCATTCTGATGAAGGGTTCGCGGCCCTTGATGCTCAGCATGTGCCAGGGTTTGGGTTTGCTCAGCAGTTCGCTGACGGATCCTTGGCTTAGACCCAGAACGGCCTCGCCGAAGATCTTCTGGCCGATGTTATTCGCCAACAAGGCCTCTTTGATCTTGGTAGTGATGGTCTGGGTGTCCAGGTCCTGGGTCAGCGCGGCCATTTCGTAGACACTGGGAGAGATATGAGGGTGCAAGCTCCGGAGTGGTGATGTCATTTGATGGGGAGAGTGGAGACCCATTTGCTGCTGTGCTTGCTTCTTTTGGAGCTCCATGGTAAGCTGGACGTGAGGGTGATGAGTTGGTGTCATCATCATCGGTGGAGGTGGTTGAGGTGGCTGGGTTGGTGGCGGCCCTAATTGGAGCTCGTGTTGGGCTTGAGCTGCTGCTTGAGCGGCTGCCTGGGCCTTTGCTGCGTTCTGGAGCTGCTCCTGCACCAGCTTCGTTGGTGGCATTGGCTTCATTGGTGTTCCGCAGGCTGTAACATTAAAAGCAAGTTAGATAAAGCTGCTAGGAGGTTCGGGAGCAAAGGGGAAAAAAAAAGACGACCTGGGCTAAACTTACGAGGCAGGCCGCCGTAGCCTCCGGTCCGCATCAGCTTCTCAGGCGCTATTTTGTACTGGCTAGCAACCAGCTTGTGGACCGCTTGCTCGTCCTCCAGGAACATTTTCATTCTAATGAAAGGCTCTCGGCCTTTCTGGGTCAGCATGTGCCAGGGCTTCGGCCTGGCCAGAAGATCCGAAACTGACCCCTGGCTTAGTCCTAAAACGGACTCGCCAAATAGTCTCTGGGATATGGAATACTGGGACAGCTGCTCTTTGACCTGTAAGACAAACATCAGTTTAGAATGGTGAGTCAACACCAGGAGTAAACACAAACTTACGTATTTCCTTACCCTCTTAACAATATCCTCGGTATTAAGATTATTGTAAAGATCAAACTGCTGCTGAGTGATTGGAGGAAGAACCGCCTTGAGTGGCCGCTGGTTCGCTGAGTGGTGGGTCTGAGTGGACGGTTGGCTGATCAAGCTGTTGGTAATCGATGCCATGCGCTGAAGAGGACTCGCAGCTGCTGTACCAGCGAATTCCTCGCTGGGTGTCATCGCTGGCGGGAGAATAGAGTTGCCTAGAGGTGAGCTAGCACTGGAACCACCAGGAGTTGACTGGGTACCAGGTTCCTGCTTGGGCCTCACTAAGCTAAACGCGCTTCCAGCGTGGCGCATAGCTTCTTCCATCTTCTCCTTGTCCTCCTCAGAGACTCCGTTCATCAGCTTGCCTCTGGCGTCGACCTTACCCAGACTAAGGTCCTGGACTCCTGCTCCGTTAGCAGACAAGTGGTTCTGATGCAGCGCTTGTTGGTGCAACGCCAAAAGACCTGGAAGGGACGGCAGGCCTGGAATTCCTGTCAGAGCAGGATTCTGACCAGGAGCGTTTAATTTCTGGAGCTCCCGGTGGTAAGCGTCCAGAGCCATTCTTATGTCGTCCTGGCTCCGCTCCATCCCAAGGTTCTGGGCGCTGAAAAAGTGAGAGAACATCGCACTATTAATCGCGTTACAGCTGTCCTCATTGAAAGTTAACTTTAGCAGAGCTTCAAGACAAGATGAAGCTTGTTAATTGTTAGATATCTTACGTTGGTGGGAAATCTCGCGGCCGGATGTCGTCCACTCGTCGGCCCATCAACTTAGCAAGCTCTTCTTGGTAAATCCTCACGACCTTTTCTTGGGGAATGTCATCGTTCTCGTACTTCTTGATCCTCCGGTTCTGGGAGTCGTACCTGTCCTTGCCAAAGGGACTTGGACAACCCAATCGGCTTGGACTCTTGCTATCAGCGTCATTGGAGGTCTCAGGCTCTCGGGAGAGTTGCTGCAAATGCTGACTGGATTCATTGAACATGTGAGCGATTCTGTCGTCGCTGATGTCTGGACCTTCTGTTGTCGCTCGAGCAAACGGTGGGATGCCTTGCTCTTTGCCTGAAACATAATCTGTAAGTAAGGAACGACTTAAGGCGGTGTCATAAGTTTTTTTGGCAACTATCCTAAGTGATGAGTGACTTGGTTCGTCTTAAACAGCTAGATTTGCCCGGGTGTCGTAAATTGTGAAAGTTTGTTAATTATCAGTGATTTATGACGCGTAAAGAGTAAGTTGACTCAATAGCTCCTGGGCCGGAGAAGGGGAGACGCTAAAGAGGTGTCATCAGTCATTCAAGGTCTTCATCGAATCAAATATCAAAAGCTGGTATTGAGGTATGAGCTAATTACTTTCGAATCAGAAATAAAATGAAATCCTACGAGAACAATTGGGTATAAAATATAAAATTTCTCTGACAAATTAGTCCAAGTCACTAATACAGTTGAGTTAATTAGCTAAGAGATTTTATCGAGGTTTTACGACTCGAGGTTTTTTTTTTCTTAGACGTTATTGTGTTTGTAAATGTTATTGTGCTGAATGATTGAAACGAGTTAGACGAAAACGAACAGAAGTTGATGATGATAATGATGATGATGATGATGATGATGATGTGCGCAACAATGCGCGGTGAACCGACTCTACTCGCACGGATACTATACACTAGTCTTGTATTACTGTATTTACGTCCCGATAGACAATCTCTTTAAGCTTGCTAACAATTGTATTTCTCAATAAATAATTCTTATTATTCACTCAACATAAATATATATATAGAATATTCTCACGGTAACAATTTGTCGTTTTGTAATAATCTTTTCTTTTACTTTCTCACCTCTTTTGGACGAGAAAAAAATATATTTCGTTACTTAGTTTCACAATAGTGAATTATTTCATTTTTACTGGCTAGATTTTGAGAAATTTGAGTGATAAAAGAGGAATTCTGGGGATTACTTTAAAACTATTGTTCAGATTGATTTAAAAGTCAAGAAAATTCTTAAGATTGATAAGCAGAGCTGACTATTGACGAGAAAAACAAAATTTATTTATTTGGTCAAAAAATATAGAGGTTCAAAAATTTTGAGAAAAATGTTTTTGTGAAAATTAAGGATGAATTTATTTATAGATTAATTTTTTTGACCCATAACCTGATTGTGCTTGAAAAACTGCGTCGAATGACGCCAAGAACGAAGGAATCGGTTAATTAGGTAAAAAAATATGATTCAAAATTTTCCAAAAAAGAGTGTTCTAGGAATAACTTTTGAACCATAGGTTTGATTGATTTAAAATTCTAGTCAGTTATTAAGGTTGTAAAACTGCGCCGATTGCTTCAATCCTGACCAAAATCGGCCGATTTGGTCAAAAGATACAGAGGTTCAAATATTTTGGAAAAAGTGTTTTTTTGGAAACTAGGCTAAAATTTTTTAACGAGTTCATTTATTGAAACTGGGCCCTGATTGGATGCAAAAAACTGCGTCGATTGCCGCAAACCGGACCAAAATCGGCTAGTTCGCGAGATATCGAAGTTCAAAATTTTGAAAAAAAAAAGCTAGATGTTCCTAAGATCGATTTTTGTAAAAAAAATATAAGTAAAAAGTGATTGTGAGTAATTTAATTAATCGTCTAGGCGTTGCCTATCAAAGGAAACAAAACTATTAATAAAAATAATTTATAAAAAAAATAGAAAGCCGTTCAATCGCGATAAAGGGGCTCGTTAGCGCGCAAACAAACCACAAACGATAAAAGGAAACCGAGCAGAGTAAAAAAGTAACAATAATAATAAAAATAAATAATAAAAAAAGAAATGATTCGATATTGTGATTTATATATTCGAGTCTTTGTCTCATTGTCTTATGCTCGGTTACACATTTAAAAGTTATTTTATTTTGTTATTTTTAATTCGAGTGTTGTATTAATATTTCAATTATTGCTTTCGAGGGTTTAAAGACAAAAGTTATTGAGATTTGTCACTCGAGGATAATAGAAAACCACGAGCGGCTGCCTCTTATTCCCAATTCAGTGGCTCCTTGACTTCTCAGGGACTTCTTGAACTTGCGGTACTTGGTAAACTTTGGGGTTAAAATCACTCAAAATCGATTGCCCAATCAGTTAAATAATATTTTTAATTATAGGCTGATATCTTTTCCCTTTTTTTTTTATTCTAATAAATGACACGAAAAATTATCAGTTTGCCCAACGGAAACCGACAATCCATTGACGCACGACGATATGTACTCATTAGCTGTCCGGACTAATATTCGCTTCATATTTAACCATTCCACCGGATATCAACAAGGACACCATTGTATTAAAGAATGTTGATTAATCGTCGAAAAATATGGGTTGCGTAAGTATTTTTAGCTTAAACAATCATTCTTCAGTCATTAGACACCCAAAGTCGTAATTTGCTCTTAAATCTTGGATTATCTCAGAATTGGTCAGTCCTAGGACAAAATTTATAAGGGCTAAAGTTGTAGAGCGGGAAAAATCCTAACAATTCTACCCTTTAATTGATTTTTATTTAAATTACAACCCAAATTATGATCGTTTAAAATTTTAGGAGCAAAAAATGATGATGATGATGATGATGATCGAACTAAATCATGGATTATCTCAGGAACGGTTGGTCCTAGGACAAAATTTCTAAGGACCAAAATTGTAGAGCGGGAAAAATCCTGACCATTCTACTTTTTAATTAATTTTTATTCTAATTAGAATCCAAGTTATGACCTTTTAAAATTTAAAACCTGCATCAGGAGCAAAAAGTGATGATGATGGTGATGGTTAAACTAAATTATGGATTATTTTAGGAACTGTTGGTCCTAGGAGAAAATTTGGGGACTTAAGGTGTAGAACAGAAAAAATCCTGACCAAAAAATCCTAAAAGTTAAATTTCCGTCGATTAGAATAAAAGTTAATTAAAAAAGTGTAAAGTCTGTCAGTAGCAAGAAGTATTGTCACATAAAATCGATTTATTCAGGCAAATATGATTCTGTAATACGTCCTTGGAATAGTAGGGAATAGTAAACCCTAATTTAAATGGTGAGAGGGTAAGAATATATCGAGAGATAGAAATAGAAACCCTCAAACCCGTCAAACCCTCAACTACGTTCATCTCTTCCTCACACCCTTCAGCCTATTCCCAGGAGCTATTAGTCTAAACAATATGGCTGCCAAAAGCAGAACAATCAATAGCGACCAGGTACCCAACTGGTTTCGTATTAATTAATCTCATCTACAATTATATTTATAATAACTATATCTTATGTATCTGATTAGATGATGAGCAAGTGCTAGTCATTGGCAAAGGTTGGATTAGTAAGCGTGTTAATTTTATTATTATCTAAATGATTGATGATCAGGATCAGTAACATGCTGCCCAATGTCCAATAATAGTGCTCCCATCCCTTTGCAGCTCCAAGCTAGGCTAACACACACCAGAATCCAACCACTGCCAAGGACTTGGTTCAGGATAAAGGTAAGGTAACAAATAACCACTCACCTTTTTTGGGTATCAAGGACTTGAGAAGCAGCACGGCGTTTTCATCACAGGCCCATCCGTGCATTTTTCTGTACGAATCTCTGCCCTTTTCCGTCAGTTTGTCCCAGGGTTTGGGTTTGCTTAGCAGCTCGCTGACAGTGCCTTGACTGAGTCCCAGGACATACTTGGCAAACAGCCGCTGGCCAATATTGTGAATGGACAGAAGTTCACGAACACGCCTGGCAATGTGAAGAGTGTCCAGGTTCTGGCTAGCATACTTGTCCATGTTGTAGCGAAGCATCTCCTGAAGCCTGGCCTCCATTGGGTCGCCTTTAGGGATCAAGGACTCACCAAGACGACCAGCCATTCCAGCAGCTCCAAACTCATCACCAAATCGGAACGGGTGGTTCCTATCATCGAACCTGAACGGTGACTTAAGACTGTCCAGAACACTGAGTCCAATGTTGTTGTTGGTGAGGTGATGGCTGTTGTTGTTGTTGTGGCACTCGTCAGGACTCTTGGGTCCAATGAGGGAGCCATTGACGCTGAAGCTGACAGGATTGGGAGCTTCCTGGCTGATTGGCGCAGCACTAGGTGACGTCAACGCCCCAGTTGACGTCGGCGTTGGAGGTGCTGGTGTCTCATGTCCAGGAATTGGTGTTGGGGCTTTTTCTGACGCGTCAACGCAGCTGGATATCGGCGTAACTGACTTAGCGGGTGGTGGATTTGTCACTGACGTCGTCGACGCTGATACTGGATCTGTTGACGGAGATGGGTGATTTGATGATTGAATTGCTGCGTTAACTTGTGAGGTTGCTATTGCCCCAGTGGCGGAATTCTGTTGGATACTCAGGGACTGAACCGCGACTGATTGCCCAGTCGAGCTCTGTTGGCTCATTATCGAGCGTTCTAAAGACCGCCGCCAATTGGCGACAATCTCCTCGCCCAAAAATGACCCAAAGGTCTCGACATTCTGGAGGGGAGGTGGGAACAAGAGGTTTTGGGCCCCTGTTGGAGTTGGGGTCAGACGGGAGGCTGATGGGTGGGCGGGGGTTGTGCTTCTTCCACCACCGACGCTAATACCAACACCTCCGATGTGGGGTGACGCGGTTGAGGCGCGGTGCAGGGGCGAAGCTAGTCCACCTGCAACCACCAAATAGTTTTTTCATTCGAGCCTGATTTCACCCACGAACACCTCGAGCTTTTTGGGAGGGGAGCCTTTGAATATCCAGACTCTCTTTGTTTTGGGGGCGCTGGTAGTGACCTTGGACGTAAGAATACAGAGGATTGCGTCTAAGGAAGTGGATTGGAAGGATTGGAGGAAAAAAGGCGGGAAAATGATCAACCCCTTTGGAAATTTAGGGATAAGGAATTTGCGGGCTGAGTTAGTGCATAGCGTCATTACAGTGGCTTCTCATTTATGAGGCAACATGTTGTTATATTGAAACAAATGATTGGGTACTGTAAATACATTATTTAAGTGTGGAATGAGAATGGATAAGCGATCAAGTGAGAATGACGTGGAGACTAAAATAGAGTTATTAAGTGACACAACAGCAAGCAAGCCGAGTTATTTTTACGATATTTATTGTGTATGCGTAATTTAAAAAAAAAAAAAAAAACAAATAAATATAAATTCAGGCCTTTTACCAGGAGAAAGAGAGTCAGGATTAAAATTAGTCTTAAAATTAATTTAGTCTTGTTTTTATGGTTATAATATACCAGTACCAAATAAATTGTCCGAGTCGAGTAGGTCATTGAACTCTACTAGTCTAGCTTAAATAATGATATTTGCTTGGGTAAATTGTAAATCCATCATCATAATGATCGTGTTATTACGCTGGGAGTCATGAATTGTTAGCTCGAAAGTGAATCGTAGGCGATTAGAGACTTATTTAGTTACAAAACTTACCGACGGTGTCTGGCGTTGAGGATTTAAGAGACTCCGCCTGCTGAAGAGCTTTGTTACGCTCCATCAGCAGGTGCTCAAGACTCTTTCCAGGTTCTCCGGTTGGAATTTGGGACAAATCCACGGATCTAAGAACGCTGATTTCACGTTTGAGGTCATCGTAGTCCCGTTGCCGCTCTAGTTTTGCTTCGAGCCGGTTGATATGCTGGCGCCTGGATTCTAGCTCTTCTTCTAGTCTGGCAGTTGCCGCCGCAGTGGTCTCCTGGAGTCGCTGGAGGTTCTGCTGTAGCCTCGTTACCTCCTCTACTAGCTGGTTGATCTGCAAAGTAAAATAGATGATTAAAATTAGGCATGTCCTTTATTAATTTTGCTAAATAGCAGGATGGTGTTCCTTAGCCTCTAGAAGCTATAGACTCAATAATCAAAAGGATTGGAGCCAATTTCTGCTGACTAGGGTTCGAAAATAACTTGGTCCAGCTTATTTAGACCTTATTCGTCATCAAAGTCCTGCTAATTAGCAAGAAGCTGGTGTTCCTTAGACTCTAGAAGCTGTAAAATCATCAACCAGAAAGATCATGACCAATATCTGCTAGTTAGCGATCAATAATAACTTGGTCCAGGTTATTCAGACCTTTTTTGAGGTCAAGATCCTGCTAATTAGCAAGAAGCTGGTGTTCCTTAACCTCTAGAAGCTGTAGATTCAACAATCAGAAGGATTGGAACCAGGATTTGATGATTAAGCATCAAAGAAAGCTTGGCGCAACCTAGTTGCTCCTTAATTAACATCAAAATCCTGCTAATTAGCAAGAAGCTGGTGTTCCTTAGCCTCCTTAAGCTACCAATTCAACAATCGTAAGGATTCAGACCAAGATCTGATGATTAGAGGTCAAAAATAACTTGGTCCAGCTTAGTAGGTCCTAATTAAATCTCTAATTCTTATTAATTACGCAAAAGCTGGTATTCCTTAGAATGTTGATACTACAGATTCAACAATGAGAAAGTTTGAGACCAGTATTTGACGATGGAGTATAGAAGAAAGATTCAATATTTAAAAACAAACGAAATTTGATATCCCCGATGCGTGATATTGCTGCTATCCCGTTCAGAAATAGGTTAAAGTGTAATAAAGAGAATTGGATTTAAATGGTATCAATACGCAATATATTTGCACGAGTAATCACGAATGCGTTAACCGTCCCGTGTGCGAATTCTACTAGGGGAGGTGGAGGAGCATCAGGAGTCAATAGTAAACGGTGGGGTAAACGATCGCGGGAATTGTTTTCTCCTATTATTCCCATTTCCGCGTTTGGTTTGGTTCGATGAGTTAATCGCGGAGCTCAATTTTACAGGCAACATGTTGATAAATTAACGGAATGGATTAATGTTTCAGATATTGGATTTTATTTAGTTATTGTTATTGTTGTTGTTATTAGTTGGCGCTAAGATACTGGAGATCGATGAACCTTGACGCACGAACTAGTGTTTGTATAGGCTTATTTATCCAAGCCATACATCAGAAATGAGCATAGACAAAGAGGGTATATTACGTGTCGATTGTCCTTAGTTGTGGGAATCAATAATTTAACATTGCATGTTCGTTTGTTTTTTTTACTAAAACGTAATTGTCGTTGTCAACATCACAAATTAACGGGTTGGAATCAATAATGGTATTGGGTTGCGTTTTTAAACAACTTCTGGGTTTTTTTTAGGGAGGGAGGGAATTTGCAGAGGGTAAGAAAAGCTTTGGAACCAGGAAAAAAATTAGCAAGTCCTAATAAAAGATCTTAAGACCTTATTTGACATTATAATCCTACTAATTAGCAAGAAGCTGGTGTTCCTTAGCTTCTAGAAGCTATAGAATCAACAATAAGAAGGATTGGAACCAATTTCTGCTGACTGAGGTTCGAAAATAACTTGGTCCAGCTTATTTAGACCTTATTCGTCATCAAAGTCCTGCTAATTAGCAAGAAGCTGGTGTTCCTTAGACTCTAGAAGCTGTAAAATCATCAACCAGAAAGATCATGACCAATATCTGCTAGTTAGAGATCAATAATAACTTGGTCCAGGTTATTCAGACCTTTTTTGAGGTCAAGATCCTGCTAATTAGCAAGAAGCTGGTGTTCCTTAACCTCTAGAAGCTATAGATCCAACAATCAGAAGGATTGGAACCAGGATTTGATGATTAAGCATCGAAGAAAGCTTGGTCCAACCTATTTGCTCCTTATTTAACATCAAAAACCTGCTAATCAGCAAGAAGCTGGTGTTCCTTAGCCTCCTAAGCTACCAATTCAACAATTGTAAGGATTCAGACCAAGATCTGATGATTAGAGGTCAAAAATAACTTGGTACAGGTTATTCAGACCTTTCTTGAGGTCAAGGTTCTGCTAATTAGCAAGAAGCTGGTGTTCCTTAGCCTTTTGAAGCTACCAATTCAACAATTGTAAGGATTGAGACCAAGATCTGGTGATTAGAGGTCAAAAATATCTTGGTCCAGCTTAGTAGGTCCTAATTAAACCTCTAATTCTTGGAAATTACACAAAAGCTGGTGTTCCTTAGGCTTGTAGGATATTAGGGGATCCTAGGGACCTAAAAGAAATTCTAAAGTTCAAAGTTAAAGGCCGGGAAGTAATTGTAATTATGCTCGTACATGAAATAAACCAGAGAAAAACGAAATAATTACAAACTGATATTGATAATGAAAATAGTTTGGTAGATAGAGTGGATCGATCGTCTGGAGTGTTAATTTTCCACCTGTCCTTCCCTGAGGGTTTGAAGCCTCAATAACGCTTACTAATGACGAAGACTATTAACGTGCGATCATAAGTGGCAAGTTTGTTAGTATAACTCTAGTTGGACAACTCCTTCGATTACTATCCTAAAGAAGAAGAAGAAGAAGAAGAAGAAGAAGAAGATGATGATGATAGTGATGAGGAAGAGGAAGAATGAGTTGAACAGAAGTAAAATAAGTTGACGCGGTTTTGGATGACGAATATCGAAGCAGGACATCCCCCTGGGTTAATCCCCAAGCGAAAATTTTTCATATCTGCATCGTGACCGGGCTTTTGTTTGCCCGTCCCTATTGATCACATTTTCTCTACTCTAGTATAATCAATCTCCGTTGCGCGCACACGCGTAACCCGAGAACGGCACCCCCTTACGATAGTCCCTCACGAACCCACGCAACGTTTGTATTTTATTCTCTACATGTATTCATAACAACGCCGAGAATATCCTTCGTCTTTGTCTTACTCCCAAGTGCTATCAGAATCACGTCAGAACTCATTTATGCTTATATGATTCAAGATGGCGAGGTTTATTATTTTTCTAACTTACGGCTGATGGGGATGAAGGATCGCCTCGGGGGCTTTAGATCGACCCATTCGTTATTTGCTGCATATTAATTTTTTTTGAGTTCTTAAATGGGCATCTTTTTTGAAATTAGAAAATTTTTGACCTACTTTAGGATTAATCTGTCCCAAATGGGTTCGAAATTCCTAATTGGGCATAAAATTCCTCAATGGGCATTATTAGAGCCTAAAATAGGCTCAGAATCTTAAAAAACCCGACAAATATCCTCAAATAGGCAGTAAACTCCTAAATGGGCATCCCTAAGTCCTAAAAGGGGGAAATTTCCCTAAATGGGCATTAATAGTTCCTAAAACGGTCTCAAGACTCCCTAAAAAGGCATATAAATATTCTCAAATGACCTTGAAATTTAAAACTAGGCATAAATAGTGCCTTATTGGGTATATAATTCTTAAATGGGCAGTATTAGATCCTAAAAAGGGCTAAGAATTTTAAAAAAGCCTACAAACAATGTCAAATAGGCAATGAACTCCTAAAGAGGCATTAATAGTTCCTAAGACTGTCTCAAGAATCATAAAAAGGCCTACAAAAATTCCAAAATGGGCATCTAACTCCTAAATGGGCATCAGTAAGTCCCAAAACAAAAAAAATTTGTCTAAATGGGCATCAATAGGTCTTATAACTGTCTTAAGATTCTATAAAGGCATCAAATATTCTCAAATGACCATGAAATTCAAAATGGGCCCAAAACTCCTAAACTAGCAAAAAAAAACTTTCAAATAAACATTGATATTCAAAAATGCAGCAAAAATTCCTAAGAAGGTATCAGAAACTCCTAAAATGGACCTTAAACTCCTAAGTGGGCCCAATTAAGCTCCAACACAGCCTTTAAACTCCTCCATCATTTAAACTCCTAAACTGAAATTCTTTAGCTCGAAATTGTTTCAAGGTCACTCTATATTCCTAATTTAATCTTAAGGCCCAATTTGGGGTCATTTGGCCCCAGAATGGGCCCAAGTGACCCAATTGGGCCTTATCTAAAATTCCTACGAGTATTTTTTCTCAAATAGTCTCTTTTAAAAATTATTCCAAGTTTCTCGAAAACGGGTCCAATTTTCAAAAACTCCAAATTGGGCCTAAAAATGGATTTCTTCGAAAAATAATAATTAAAAAATGTTCTATGATTCATCCAATCATTCCACGAAATATTTCACTCCCCTATCATGATAAAAAACACAATTGTCCTCCCTTCTAATCCCCTCTCTCTCTCTCTCTCTCTTCTATATATATATTAAAACATTTATATACATTATTCCATCTCATTCATGCAGCGCGTTATCTTTAGTATCGTATCTTTGTCATTCTCTTATTCAGTGTTGTGCTGAGTAGATCCGGGTGGTAGCTTTTGAGGGTGATAGAGGTTCCCCCTTACCTCAGGAAAGAGGCGAAGGGTTGCCCGAAACTGGAAGTGGGAATTATGGGCAGGATTAATATGCAAGGACTGGATACGTTCTGCGTCGGGGGTGGTAGAAGGGGTGGAAGGGTGATTTAATGTAGAGAAGGGGAGGTGGGGGGGTTGAAGGATGCTGCGATACGAAGTACGAAGCATCAGTAGGTTGCGAGCCACCACTCGGAAGATGAGCTACGACAATAGTAAGAATGAGCGGGGATAAAGAGAGACAGAGAGCTCCCTTATGGATACGGGTAACGGACACCCCTATCGATTTTACAACTCGATATATGTGAATACCCACTTGTCTAATGACTGATCGGGCTTCCAACCCTGGTGCCTTCAGCCTTAGCTTTCCCCTTCTGGGCACCGGGCAACTTGCTACCCCTTTCTGATCAAAACACCTCGTGGTTTGGGTCTCTCTCTCTCTCTCTTTAACTCTTTGGAGGCCTACAGGCTAATTAACGGTGAAAATACATTCAATTCAACTGATTGTGAATTTCTAGATTTTTTTACTTTTAGGAACAAGTCCACTTTATTCAAACTTATCAGGAGGGGGTGGACGGTCTAGTCTCTGGGGAGGCATGAGAAAAAATGACCAGAGCGGTAAAGGGTTCGAAAAGGGGTGAGGGCGAGTCTAAGGGCTGTGATATTTTATTTTACCAGGCTAGATAAGCCCGCTGAGGATTTATGCTTATTACGAAGCACCTTGCCGATGGGGGTTGTTACAAGTCCGAGGCTAACTTATCGTTATGTTTAAACTTAATAAAAAATATGGATGTGAGTAATAACCTAGGTATAATGGAACGAGGATATTACATTGTTGTTTTTTTATTTTTGATAAGGAATACAATATAGAAGGTTATTTTAACTGGAATTGGAATTTTTTTTGACGTTAAAGTCTTGCTTATTAGCAAGAAGCTGGTGTTCTTTAGCCTCTAGAAACTATAGAATCAACAATCATAAGGATTGGAACCAATTTCTGGTGACTAGGGCTCGATAACAACTTGGTCCAGCTGATTGAGACCTTATTTGTCATCAAAGTCCTGCTAATTAGCAAGAAGCTGGTGTTCCTTAGACTCTAGAAGCTGTAAAATCATCAACCAGAAAGATCATGACCAATATCTGCTAGTTAGAGATCAATAATAACTTGGTCCAGGTTATTCAGACCTTTTTTGAGGTCAAGATCCTGCTAATTAGCAAGAAACTGGTGTTCTTTAGCCTCTAGAAGCTATAGATTCAACAATCAGAAGGATTGAAACCAGGATTTGATGATTAAGCATCGAATAAAGCTTGGTCCAACCTAGTTGCTCCTTATTTAACATCAAAATCCTGCTAATTAGCAAGAAGCTGGTGTTCCTTAGCCCCCTTGAGCTACCAATTCAACAAATGTAACAATTCAGACCAAGATCTGATGATAAGAGGTCAAAAATAACTTGGTCCAGGTTATTCAGACCTTTCTTGAAGTCAAGGTTCTGCTAATTAGCAAGTATCTGGTGTTCCTTAGCCTTTTGAAACTACCAATTCAACAATTGTAAGTAT